CAGCCTTGTCAGCTGACCATCTGAGGCTACCATTTGCATAATTAGGTTTTGTAATGAATTCCTGAGGCTCCCAGCGAGTTCCACAAAATGCTATCAAGGCTCCCAGCCAGACTGTGGGAATACACATCAGATGATCTCAGGGGTGAAAGATTCCATAACGTCTACCATTTAACAGTCCCACTGCTTCACCTCTAGTCAATGACCAGTCCGTTCCTCCTGCCTGAATGCAGACATTATGGAAGGGAAGAGAATGAAACAAACAGCTATTGTTTGTTTACTGTGTGTCTGGCACTATGTCTACATTCGCTCTTCGAATGCCATCAAGTAATTCTCTACAACTGAAGTCACTTCTATAATTTTCTAAAATAAAAGTTGACCCTGCCCAACCTCACAGGTACTAAGTGGCATATTTGTGATTTGAACCCAGGTTTGTGACTTTTTCATTGAGTCATATGGCTTTTCTAAAATAAGAAAGAGCTGATTTTTATATGAGGTTCATATTTTCAGAACACTTTCACATATAACTTTTACCTTGACATCACAAAATTTTATGAGGTAGACAAGGAAGTTATCATTTTCCATTTTTTATCACAGAGGAAATTATCCAACTAGTAAGTGACTTCCCCAAGGTCACACCCCCAGTTATTGGAAAACCTGACTCTCTTTTGACTCTATCTAGAACTCTTTTCACTACATCCTTTTATCCCTGTCTTCAGTCTTCATTTCTGTACTCACTGGAAAAGCAAAATTGCAGATCACCACGTCTAGGAAAAAAAATACATAGTGTATTTTTGGGAGCATTATATGGTGTCCCAAAAATGTATACACACACTTTGAATAATTATATAATTATAAAGGCAGTATGTATTAAAATAGATTTCATTTTCAATTGAGCTATGAGCTGTTAATATATATATATTTAATTTTAGTAATCCCAGGTGAGTGTACAGTTTAAGAAGAGATTTTCTAGAGGTAACCTCTCCAATAGTAGAAAGTTAGACACTGACTTATGTCAACAGGCCAAATTCTTGAGAGCAAAGATGATTCTCCATGTTCCACACCACACCCACAGAGCTACCTTCCCATGTGTTTAAGTAAGCCCTCACTTTTCTCTGAAAGCCCAGGTTTTTTAAAACTTTAAAGCATTTTCATTCGTTCCCCTGAGCCTTGGCCAGTTCCTCTAAAACCTCTTTTGAATTGGATACTTTCCTTCTTTGCATGCAGGTTTCAGGCAGTGCTGATGGCACCTATGTCAGGCACTTGGCAAAGTTGCCCCTGAGAATCACCCACCTCATGAGCCACGACAAAACCAAGAGAGAATCAATCTAATCTGATAGTCAGCGGCAGCCAGGATAAATGTAAAAGACTGTAATAGCTTACAATATTTGCAAATGAACTTGAAGGAAGCAGGTAAGTCCAAACTATTGCAGCACTGCAGCACTTTGGGGACTCTATCTACTAGAAAATCTTAAAGTACAGAAAAGCATGGCATGTAAGCTTGCTGATGGCAGTTGCATATAAAATAGAAAGATATGAATATGAAAACAAAACAGGTGCCAAACAATTAAAATGGATAGAAAAGAATGATAAATCTATATTAAAAAGTGCACAGCCCTGGCTCAGTTGGTTGGAGCATTTGTCCAGTGCACCAAATGGTTGTGAGTTCGATTCTTGGTCAGGGCCCATATGCAGGTTATGGGTTCGATCCCCAGTTGGCTTGTGTACAGCAGGCAACCAATTGATATTTCTCTCTCACATTGATGTTTCTTTCTCTCTCCCTTGCTCTTCCTCTCTCTAAAATCAATAAAAACATATCCTTGAGTGAACATTTAAAAAATTGCACAAACATTAAAACAACATTTATGAAGAGATTTGATAACATATCTGTATGAGGTAGCAGTATATTGTATTATAACTTTATAATATTAGTGGGAAAAACAGTCATTAAAATATTCTGTAAAATATACACATCCATAGAAAAACATTATTGGGATTTCTCAGGTAAGCTGCTTGGTTGGAAATGAATCATAGAATATTTTGCTCAACACTAAAAAAATATTGAAAACCAGCAAAAATGTCACTAATTGTAACAGCTTGAGAAAGTGGGCAGGACTCAAGGGAATAACTTCAAAACCGTTGAAGAAAAGAAACTGAAAATGTTGAAGTGGAGTAGCTGTAGAAGCAGAACACATGTCCTCCTGAATTTCATTCTCCTTCCCTCTTTCTCCTTTTAGTAAAATGATAAGAGTAGAATTTTTTTTTTTTCAGAAATCTCATTTATGCCAGGAAATCCAAAGAGAAGCAAAATGTGAGAATCCTTTGGTTTTTTTCCTCTTCTAACTAGAGAATTTTTCAACTAGGTGTTGGACACACATCATAAATGGGGAAAGGAATGAAGACTTTCTCTCTCTGATGGAAATAAAAACTCCAGAATGATCCTGAGTCAGAGAAACAAACCAGAGCCCAAGGACATCTGCTATTAGTAGACCAACCAGAAAAATGGAGTCAATTCTAGTACAAGACACTTAACCAAATCTCAGGAACAGAGCTGCGGCCACCTCGGCAGCCAACTTCTACACATGCCTCTGGTTTTCAGCTGCGTTTTTCCAATGGGAGTCATCAGCAGATTAGGGAAGGTGGGGAGAATAGGGACATGGGGGTATGTATCCCCTCTTTTCCCTCCATCTGTGGTCACCATCCACAGTGATTGCTCTCTTCTGGGAATGATTCCTGTTGGGCATTCTCTCTTTCAGGCTCTAGTGTGAACCAGGATCCAGTGATTCCCTCCTCTTGCATGTAATAAGTTCTGTGCTCTTTCCCCAATTCTGTCACGATCCTTTTTATGACCTTTGGCAAGATACGTAACTTCTCTGGGATTTATTTCTTTATTCATTCATTCACTCAAAAAATCATTGACATACCTTGGGCCTATTTCATGCAATTAAAATTTAGGCTCTAGAAATGGTTATGAAGACAAATAAAACATGGTCTGGCCCTTTAGAAATATACAATCTAATAGAGGAAAACAGATAACATAAATGGTATAATGTCTTAAGTATCTTCCTTGAGGTATACAAAAGATACTTTAGAAATGTATGGCAAAAAGTGACAAACTCTCTAAAGGGGTTTTGGGAAATGTCACAAATAAGGTGGCATTTGGGGAGGACATTGCCAAGGCAGAAGGAAAAACAGTATTCCAGGTAGAGAATCAATAGGTCCAAAGCAGGGAATGTGAAATAGCCAGGTGTGTTCAGGGATGCCTTGAGGTCACTAAGTTGGAGCATCAAGTGTGTGATAGGAGAGTGACATAGAGAGCACATCAGCTAAAGTACACTGATGCCAAAGTGAGGCAGGTTCTGTGTCACGGTAAAGCAATGGGATTCTTCCATGGAAAATAAGGACCCATCAAATGACAGCATTTAATTTTAGAAAGATTATTCTGCCAACAGTGCCAACAGAGGTCAGAAGGCAGAAACAAGAGCCAGAAAGCCAGGGGAGATGCAATTCCTTAGTCCAGGTGAACAACAATGAGGTCTGGAACCACGGCAATGGTAGGAATGGATTCAGAAGATCTCATGACCAAACGAGTAAGAAAAAGGAGTGAAGAGCAGGATACTATTAAAAGTTGGGTTTAGCCTGGCCAGTGTGGCTCTGTGATTGAGCATCGACCTATGATCCAGGAGGTCAGGGTTTAATTATGGGTCAGGGCACATGCCCAGGCTTTGGGCTCGATCCCCAGTGTGGGGCATGCAGAAGGCAGCCAATCAGTGATCTCTCTCATCATTGATGTGTCTATCTCTCCGTCTCCCTTCCTCTCTGAAATCAATATGTACATATATATTAAAGCTGGGTTTATAAGAATAAGCAGAAGTTTAGGGAATGAAGCATATGTGAAAAGGAAGCAGAGAAAAGGATGATGTTGATGTCTCTAGACCAAGTATCTGGGTGATTTTGGAGAAAGGAAATACCGGAGAAGTAAGTCTCAAAATGAAGAAAAGTAAATGAGACAGTCAAGCTGATATTTAGGTTGCGTTTAGCTGAAAAAATTTATTTCAAGATTTATGTATTCCCATTAATGCAAATTTTCTCCCAGAGCACTTCTATCATTGTTCACATTTCAATGGACTCCAGCTTTTTTTTTTTTTTTTACTATTAAAACCTTCTCATTTTCCATAACTGATAACCGCGGAGCACATCGGGCTGCACTGCTTAATACTCTGCAAAAGCATCCCAGAACTACATCATTCCCATGAGAGAAGACTCAGGAGTGAAAGAACCCAGCATAAATATATATATATATATATATATATATATATATATATATATATATATATATATAATGGTTATAAGGTAACTGTTATAAGATGAAAATATATGACAGCTCTTCGCATAAGAATAATTTCTGACCTGTGTATGTCCATGAAATCATTACATTTGAATATTTATGTAGCATAAGTCCTCATCATTATGTTCATTGATGAGTAATAACTCTATTCCATTTCACAAAATGAGAATATTAAAGTGAGAAAGCTTAAATGGCCTCCCTCTGATGAGATGGCAGGAAAGGGATTAATAATGTGGACCTCTTGACTCAACGCCTTAATAACCAAACTAAAGTATGCCTATGCATTCAACCAGACATACTTTTTATTAGACCGCATTGGAGTTTCAGATTACTTTTGAAATAGTTTTATGATATTTTTGTGAACTTTATCTCATTTGACATTTGGTATTCTCTCATTTATGTTATATATGTGGAAATAACTATTCATCACGCATATATATGGAAGAGCCATTAATAATTATTTTCCGATGTAAATAGAAAAAGAAAAAATGCCCCCCAAGTTGATATTCAAAAAACAAAATAATAAAAACAATATGAACACAAGGAACTATCTAATTCTTAAACGCGAAAGAAATGTTTCATCCAGATCAATTGGAAAAGGACACCATTTGTCCTTTGGTTCCTTACATTTCACATTCTTTCTTGTAGTTCATACCTTTTCTCTATATGCACTTTACTTCTTGCTGGACTGTATCCTTTCAAACTTCTTTTAGTGAAGACTTCTTGGTGGAAAATTTTCTTAGTCTTTGAATGTGTGAAACATTGTTAATTTACTCTCATTCTCAATATTAAATGGATAAGTGAATGGCCAAGGTGTCAATGTGTCTATGCAAAGGGCACTTCGTTTGCAATTTGGTTCTTGGGCAGGAAGAGACTTTTGCACCACGTAAGTTTTGAAATGGTTTTCACCACATGAGATTCCAGGAGGAGGACTGCAGTCATGAAGACGAAGACACACAGGGCTGGGGTGAGAGGGATGGAGTTTCTCAGGCACAGCCAGCATTTTGGATGCAAACTGGCCTTCTTTTTTAAAAAAAAAAAATATATTTTTTTTATTTATTTCAGAGAGGAAGGGAGAGGGAAAGAGGTAGAAACACCAATGATGAGAGAGAACCATTGATTGTCTGTCTCTTACACATCCCCCACTGGAGATTGTGCCCACAACCCGGGCATGTGCCCTGACCAGGAATCAACCATGACCTCCTGGTTCATAGGTCGGTGCTCAACCATTGAGCCACGCTGGCTGGATGAAGCTAGCCTCTGGATCAATCTGTGCAGGAAGAATCGGTACTTAGTCTATACTTGGGACAAGTACACAAAGACCCTATGTGTAGCAGTACACATTTAACAATCATGAAACAGATGTAACTGTTTTTAGCACTCTAACTAAATTAAATTGGCACTGGAGCCCTTATTTGATCCAACGATAGTAATTTTTCCCATGCAAGGTAACTCATTGACCGTCAGTTTAAACTAGGTCTCTTTTGATCAATTCAGCATTTCCTCTTTCTTCTCCTCTTCCATTCTCCTCGGGAATGATGATATTCTGACATCAACACCGGGAGAGAGGCATGCAAAGATACGCCTCCCTTTACACTAGTTTCTGCTGAGATGGACAATCAGTGCTAGCCTTTGGGCCTCAGAGCTTGGCTCCACTTGGCCCACACTGAAACCATTGTGCCCCACTCTCCTCTCTACTAACCAGGTCCACAGAGATCACCCCAATTCTTTAACATCTCAATAAGCAGAGACTGTCTGGGCCAGGCCCAGTCTCTACCACTTCCCAGGGGCCTGGAAAACTCCTCTTCCATCTTCATGCATTCTTTTCCCCCTCTTTTCCTACTCTGATTCCTTCAGAAATCACAGAGCCTTTCTCTCTCCCAAAGTCCAGTTTTTGCTCCAGGAAGCTTAGTTGTCTTCTCAGAGCCAGCTGGAAACTTGTCACCATTCAGCCCTTGTGCATCAGTGTTATGCATCTCCTCTTTTCCCCACCAAAACCATCCCACTAAAGCACAGAAACGTGCTGGTCATCGGCAACCCAATGCCCCTAGAGCTGACAGGGCCTCCTGTGGGTGACTCAGGGTGCAAGGAGGACTGGAAATTTGAGGTCCCTAGAATTAGGGACCATCACAAAAGGCTCTATGCCCAAGCTTGTACAGAAGGAAGAGTGCCACTCTCTTCCAGCTACAAGACAATTATAGACTGTGTAGGACTCTCAGAATTGTGGCCAAACCCTTGGCATGAGGCAGCCCCTTCAAGGACAAGACTACAATAGAATGTCCTGCAAGACTGTGGGGGTGGGGAGTAGAGTAACTCAGAGCCTAACTGATCCAGAGCATTTCTTTATGGATATGAGAGATTTTAAAGATCAGATGTGTTATGGAATTAAATGTATACCTGCTACAATTGGAACATTAGGCCTAGGAGTGACCATCCTTAATCATATTTATTAAAATATATTATTTAATGCATAACAATTTGTAAGGCCCACGTGGATGTGGACAAAGTTTTCATTTTTCTTATCAAATATATTTAATTCGTATTTTGCTATACACAACTTTCAAACTGACAAAGAATAATTCTCCACCATTCCATTCTTTTCAAACAATGACATAATTTGAAACATTGCTATAGTAAGAAATAATGGCTTTGGCTTATTTGGTCAGATGTCCTCAGATTTAGCAGTTCAGGACTCAATTCACATTTCTGTTGGAGGAATTCACTGAACACCTATTGTTATTATCATTATTATTGCCTAGCTGTCCCCGTACCCCACCCACACTTATCTGGAAAATGCTAATCTACCTTGTGTTGTGTGCACACAGCCATTGCTGACTGGGTCAGGAGATGGAAGCTGACCCAAGCTGGGCCCCCAGTCCTCACTCCAGGAATTTTTAAATTTTGACAAGAAGAAGAAAAAGGACCCACTCTCTTCTAGAGAAGCTGACAAAGACAGCATCCCATAGCAGCAATTTCCAACCTTGCACTTGAGGATTCCCAGAAGAGCTTTTTAAAAAAATGACCAGTCTGGACTTTACTCCAGGCCCACTGAATCTGATTCTCTGGCGGTAAGGCCCAGACACTAAGATTTTTCCCTAAATCTTTGTATTTTGAATAATTTCATTACTACTGAGAAGTTGAAAGAACAGTGCCATGAACGCCTGTATACCCCTTCACCTACATTGCACTAATTGTAAATATCTACGGATGAATGGGCTTTTTAAAAAACTCCCCAGGTGATATTAACATACAGAATTGAAAACAGCCCCAATATGTAATGGGGAACAGCCCAAATACAGACAGGACAGACAGTGCAAAATGAAGCAGATACACCCAGGACAAACATAAAAAGAGATCCTGGTGACAAGCAGGATCATGTATTGCATACCCTGAAATCATGATAATAAAATCACCTTTGGGGCTTAAAGTAGTGTGACTTACGAGCTTGTTCATGGAAATCAGAAGATTCAGGAATGATATACAGAAGCAAGAAGATTCTATAGCCTAAACCTTAAACAAAAAGAAAACCAGAGAGTGTTTATTGGCTAGAAAGATAGAGATGATGTTAAGAGAAATACATTAAAACAAACACACACAAAGAAACAAATACATGAGGTCCCAAGATAATGGGATTAAAGATAATGAGACAACATGCTAAGCTACAAATCCCACACAACACAGGCGCTGTACCAAAAAGGGAGGGAGTAGGGCCATGGTCGTGCTCTGTCCCAGTGGCAAGAAGTGTTTTGTTACAAATGATATGGTTGAGAGTTAGCATGCTGATAATAAAAGGCATATCGAGTTTTAGTTGGTCCTATTTATTTAGCTATACTTAGACATATTCTCTGTAGACCCTGCACCCCATTATCGCCTGGGCCCAGGGCAAAATAATTCTACCCTCAGCTCCTGTACCCCCACTCTCAAGTCCAGTTTTGGGGAGACCAGGCTTGCTGCTGTTCACTGTTCTCATTATCTTTGCAGAAGAGTCTTGGTTTCTGTTTACAAATTTTCATTCATTTTGCAAAAACACAATGATGCAGTAACTCTATATTATGCAAATATTGTCAAAAAGGGATTTGGGGCTGTGTGATCTTAGAATACAATCCCCTAAGATATAAAATACAAGTTTTACAGTCTTTTAAGGCTAATCATTTGCCCAGGAATATACTTGAAATCTTCCTCTGAGCTACAAATAAGTCAGTTTTCCCAAACTATAAGAATGAACTTGGCAAGGGGAAATTCAGTAAGCCAAAAATAATGTGAGATTAATCAAAGTCTCACTCTTTTATCTGTAAGTTTACTTCAGGGAGGAAAACATATTGTGTCAAAATTCAAAGGATGAAAGTTTTTAAAGCAAAGCCAGACTTTTGAAATTCACACACAACAAATAATGACAAAGAATCCTTCAGGAAAGGAAGGAATAGAGTTAAATATCAATTACAACAATATTTTAAGGAATAATATGAAAATATCATTATTTGGGCATTCTCTTCTCCCGTACAAAGAATGACACAATATAGACACAATATAGACAAGAACCAAGAATAATTTACCCAAACTTTACATTTCTTTAAAGAAAGACCAATCTGAGAAAAATAATGTATAGGATCAGGAATTCTAATGCCATAGGCTAGTCACAGAAAAATGCAAGGTATTTTGTGTGTGTGTGTGAGAGTGTGTGTGTGTGTGTGTGTGTGTGTGTGTGTGTGTGTGTGTGTGAAGGTATAAAAATATTCCTCTGTATTCAAGGAGACTGTAAGTCTGGTTCTGTCTTTGATAATAACTCAAAATTGTAGACAAAACATTACAAAGTCTGATAAGAGAAAAATTATTGTATAAAGAGTCAATTCACCTGTGTATTGGCACATCATTTTTAGATGATCAGAAAAAGAAAATTCCTTCAAGGATTCCAATCTCCTGGACTCCCATATTTGGCGAGGGTCAGAGGAGCAGAGAGTAATCAATGAAAACAAAAATATTTTCATACCAGACTAGTGCACTGACTGCATTCTATAAAGTGCCTCCAAGTTACCAAATTCTTTTTTAACATTTACTCACTTAGTATGTTATTAAACCCCAAACTACAAAGCCTTGCCACTGTAGAATCGTAATTGGCTTCTCATTTCTGAAATTCTTCTCCGAAGAACGTCATCAGAAGGAAAAGAAAGGCATGGGACTACTCACTGTGGCCAGCCAACAAGTCACCAACCAATTTGCCCTGATCCCTGGCAGCTGAAGACTGGGGGGGTCAGTGCCTTTCCTTTGTCATATCTTGCCACAAATCAGCAGGCTGGGTTCCTATATCTCCAAGCAGTCAATCCCGCGCCAAATGGCAGATCCCCAGGCTGAGGCAGTCAGGCTGGGCACTGCCCTGGCATAGGCAGCCAGCCCTGTATGCAGGGACCGTGCAGCCTGACAGACCAGTCCTGCCTGGGAGAAGCTCTGCCCTGGGAGGGGCACAGGGCCCAAAAACGAATGAGTCACGCACTGGGTGACACACCGGCTCTCACAAGCAGCAAAGGCTTCCCTTTTTGGCAAGGGATCCAGGCCTATGGTGGCGGCACTTGGCAGTGGCTGTTAACATCCCTAGGAATCTGCCTGGACCTGAAAATGAAACACAGAAAACACCTGAGCCTGTGCTTGGAGCTCTGCCTTTGTCTGGTGTCCTGGCCCTTAGGATCTGGGAGTATGGTTCTCTAATTGCTTCTGGCTGTCCCCGGTTCCAGGCACAAGGCAGCATTGCGTTTCCTAATTTCCTTGTGATTAGATGGGGTCATGTGGGTTGTGCTGCCATGTAACCGGCAACTCAATATGGTAGCTACTCCATCAGCCTGGGTCCCTCAGTCACTGTGATAAACCGAAGGCCCTGCGGACCTGTGTTGGGCCTGAGCAAAAATGACTACTGTTCTTAGTTGCTGAAATTTGGGAGCGATTTTTTAACTCAGCATAACCTACCCTCTATTGACACAAGGAGGAAGCTCTTGGAAGGCAACATGGACAGTAATATAGCTTGCTAATTTTGAACTCTCAAATTCTTTTTCTTTTCTTTTTTTCAGCATTCATAGACTTTCTGGCTTTCCAAAGCCCATATTTC